GTACAGTACAAAACACAGAATATCTATTATGATAAAAGTGTAATATGCAAATCGACCCAAGGGCCAAACAGCAGAACGACTGTCGGAACAAACACACTATGACACGCACTAGTGTCAGGCCAGCCAAGGGGGTGAGATGCGATTGGTCGGGGGAGGGGAGGAGAAAGAAGGAAGGGGGCTCTGCCATTGCCCCACATTCACCTTGTAGAATGTAGAGGGAGGCCCAGGCCACCTGGCCTGCAGTACCGCAGCAGGTGGGCGGGGCCTCCCTCTGCAGGGTGATCGATTAGGGGGCTCCAGGACTGCAAGTGGGTGCAGGCTGGGCTGAGGGACACACACACACACACACACACACACACACACACACACACCACCCTCCCCCAAGTACATGAATTTCGTGCACCAGGCCTCTGGAAGTCAATAATATTGTGATAACTATGTACAGTGCTAGGTGGTACTGGAAATATCGGGAGGGAGAACACTTTGTAAAGTGTATGATTGTCTAAACCACTGTGCTGTACAACTGAAACTAACACAAAATATTACACATAAACTATAATTGAAAAAAATATTTTTAATGAATAAAAACACTTTTTTTTTTTTAAAAGATAGAGACACAGTAAACGCAATGGTGGGGCCTACACCATTTTTAATTGAATGAGAATCTGTAGTTTCACAGAATCATCAGGCGATTCACAGGAATTTTAACGTTTGAGCAACACTGGTCTGGGCCACATTCTATTTGCTTAGTGACCTAGACACCCACACCTGTGTCCGAAAGTCTGGTGACCTCACAGCCACCTGTGAACACTGTCCACCAACAGTTTTTCTCTCCCCTAGGTGAGGAGGCGCTAAACGAATACCTCAAAACCAAGACGGTGACGCTGGAATATTAGAACAACGCCACGACAGGAAGCCCTCAGCAGACAGCACTGCTCCTTCGTTCTCGACACACTGAAGAGGGCTGCCACGAGCCAAAAATTCACATGTGGGCCATGAAGACCATCGGCCACATGTCTGAGCACTACACCTGTGCCTGAGCTATACGCCTTCTCCTAGTATATCTTATTTTGAAATAAGATATATTTTTGTGACGTTGATGTTCTATTTTTCATTCCCCTGTGATGGGTGATCAACCCACAAACAGTTCTTGAGTACCTACTTGGGTACAAGGTGCTATATTATGTCCTAAAGTATATATAAAATGTAATGATATGATCTCTGACCCCTAATAGTTTACATTCTAGTCAATAGCTTTTTTATTTTTTCGGGAGCGGGGAGCGCTTATCTGGGATTTGAATCCATCAATAGCTTTTAAATTTTATATGATACATAGGTGTGGGCAAAAGTAGGTTTACAGTTGTAATGCAAATAAATAACAACTAATACAAGAATAACTGTTTTTGCATAGTTACAACCATAAACCTACTTTTACCCACCACTATCGTGTAAAGCTTTTGGAGACTGATCTTGGTTCCCATCATCCCATCTTACTAGCTATGTAACTTATGCAACTTCTCTGAGCCTCGGCTTCCTGATCTGTGAAATGGGTAGAGTAATGCCTCCCTCAGGAGCTTTTTGATGGGGACTCAGTGCAATACTATAAGTAAAGCACCTCACCCTGTGCTTTGTCATGGCAAATATTCAATAAAAGTTAACTGTTTCCACCATCACTGTTTAATCAATATGTTGAGATATATTAAGTAGATGGATTAATTCATTTGCTGTCAACCCTTTTCAGCCACCACTGGCTCCTATACTCTTTCTCTCTCTCATCCATGTCCTGACACAGTGCCCGAGACAGCAGCACTAGAAGATGCCACAGATGAAAAATAACAATGGCCCAGGGCAGTGGTCAGCAAACTCCTTAGTCAACAGAGCCCAATATCAACCGTATGATTAAAACTTCTTTTGAGGGTCAAATTTTTAAAACTTAAACTTCTAGCGCCATTTCTTCAAAATAGACTCACCCAAGTCATGGTATTTTGTGGAAGAGCCACACTCAAGGGACCAAAGAGCCACATGTGGCTCAAGAGCCACTGTTTGCCAACCACGGGTCCAGGGGGAAGGGGTGCCTTCCTTTCTAAAGCTCACCCATCTTTCTGAGGACATCTTGTTTTCCATTTTCTATTTACTGGTCTTGCTGCTCGCTGGCTGTGTGATCTTGGGCAAGTGAATGACCTATCTCAGAGGCAAGATTTGGAATCTATAAAATAGGTAAAGTCCCTGTCTCATTAGGCATTGGAGGGATCCAATGGAATCATCCACATAATACCCTTAACAAGGTGTCTGTGCTCAAGAAGTGGGAATGAGTACAACTCACACCTTACTCATAGATTTCATTGTCTGTTGTCAGACAAAAATAAATAGGTAAACGATCACCATTCTTGTATGACTAGAAAATAGGCAGAGCAATTCACTCTTATTATTCCTCCTTTTAAAGTAAAATGTCTGCAGTCACGTTGGCTTTGCAGAAGCCCTAAGGGAATAGTTGTGACTATGAAGACTCTGGCAGCCTACCATCAGGGGACGGTAGGAAATCCATAATCAGTAAGCAACAATAACAAAATCAAAGACGAAAAGCACTCCAAAGGAAGAGTATCAGGTGATCCTGGCATGATCCACAGAGTGAATATTGTTTAAAAGCACTTGTTATTTATAATACGGCAGCTCATCTACCATCCGAGCTTGGCACAGCTGAAGTTCTCAGTTGGAATGAATGTTCTCAGGGTTCATATCTGAATAAATGACAAAGCCCTTATTATAAAGGAACCACTTCTAAATGCAGTGTTTGAACTGCTTTCATATGATTTAAAATATCATGTTCCCAAATATTTTCATGATAGAGGAGATGGCAAACAAAAACATGCCTGTTCTTCTAGGCTAATTTTACCTTCTATTGTGACTCTCAGTAGCAGTGTTTTTAATCTTCTTTGGGCCATACCCTTCCTTGAGAATTTGATAAAAAATGGAACCCCTCTGTTTCACTTCTACTCCCCAAGTTCACTGCACACACATAATTCTGCAAATGTCCTCCCAGGTTCCAGGCCTCCCGAAGCCCATGCTCGGGCCTCAGATTAAATGCTTTTTTTTTTCCACAGTGAGTTCTAAAGTTCTTACTGGCTGGAGTTTTTACATCGGACTGTTGATCAGAATCAAAGGCTCCATGGAATTCATAAAATGACCAGTGAATGTGAGTTGGGACCTAATGATCCACAGACTACTGGGTGATTTAATTAACACACCGAGTAATTAAATTATCACCGAGCCTTCAGATCACTGATTATTTTGCTAAAAGATGAAGCTGAGATCTGTTTGTCATTGAACTGGGGAGGTGCAGACACTTGAAGCAGTTATACATTTCTTCTAATTCCATTCCCCCAGGCCCTTCGAAAGCCGCCCTCTTAACCAGCCTCCCTGGCCTTCCTACCCCCAAGTTGGCCAAAGTGTCTCGCTCTACGCTCCCACTTGTCTGGAACATTCTAGTAGTACTTACCACTTGTTGCTAAAATTATTTGCCTCCCTAACCAGATAGGAACACCCCCTCCTCACTCCAGGATTGGCATTCTGTCAATAATAATAACAAAAGCCTGAGTGTTGACCTATGAACCAGGAAGTCAAGGTTTGATTCCCCATCAGGGCACATGCCCAGGTTGTAGACTTAATTCCCAATGAGAGGCATGCAGGAGACAGCCAAATAATGATTCCCTCTCATTATTGATGTTTCCTTTCTGAAATCAATAAAAAATATATATAGTATTAAAAAAAAACACTAAACTAAAAAACATTATCTGCAAGAGCTTTTGTGGAAATAGGTGGAAACCAGATGAGGAACCAAATTTGGTTCCCCCATACCACCCTCCAAGAAAATAATAGCTATTGGAATATCATCAGCTATGAGACATTATGGATAGGGTGGCTTATTATTACTACTTTGCAAATAATACCCAAGTGGATTTTTAAATAATTAAATAATACCAAATTATGTAAAACAGGAAGGTAAGACTACCATAAACTCTTCATACAGAAATAACCAGATATCATTTGAGATTTCCAGACTTTTTCTAGGCATATATTGTTTTACAGAATCAATATAAGTGTACATGACTTTGTTGCCTGCTTTTTCAATTAATCATCTGTAAGCATCTTTCCATGCCCATAAATGTTCCTCTGCATGTTTGGTGGCTTTAGCTTACTATTATAATTTGAAAGAGCCTTGTTTATACTAATGCTCTCTATTGTTGGAATATTTACTAGTAGGTCTGCTTTTTGCTATTTGAAACATCACAATAAAACATGTATAAATTTGTGAACAAAGTCATAGTTATTTAATTGGATAAATCCCTAGGAGTGGAATTTCTGTGTCAAAGGATGTAGGAATCTTTTTTTTTTTTTTTTTTAATATATTTTATTGATTTTACAGAGAGGAATTGAGAGGGACAGAGAGTTAGAAACGTCGATGAGAGAGAAACATCAACCAGCTGCCTCCTGCACACCCCCCACTTGGGATGTGCCCACAACCAAGGTACATGCCCTTGACCGGAATCGAACCCAGGACCCTTCAGTCCGCAGGCCGACGCTCTATCCACTGAGCCAAACCGGTCCCGGCGGATGTAGGAATCTTTAATCTTATCAAGTTTCCTCAAAGTTTTTGCTCCCATTATGTATTAATAGAGGCCCATTGCACGAAGATTTGTGTAAGAATAGGCCTTCCTTCCCCTGGCTTCACTCCTGGCCACCTGAGAGCCTGTAAGTCATCGCTCCAGCTGGAGTGCTGCTCCTATAGCTCCCTCCACACCCTGCCCTCCCTGTCATAGCAGGCGTCCCGCCTCTCCCAGCTGCTCCACGCCTGCATATGCAAATTAACCCAACATCTTTGTTGGGTTAATTTGCATACCCACTCCTAACTGGTGTCACAGAGTTATGGTCAATTTGCATATTTCTTTTATTAGTATAGATTTCTATACCCTACATTTACTATTCTCAGCATATTATATTAATTCATTAATTCCTTATTAAGACTCCTCGAGGGACACTATTATTCCCATTGACAGATGGAGAAACTGAGATGTGGCTGGGCTGGGATCTGATCCAGGCGGCTTCAGAGCCTGTGCTCCCAGCACAGTGACTAGCAGGCCAATGATGATGGCCAGGTGTGTGACTGAACTACCCATTGTGAAGCCTTAGGAAATCTGCTTAGTATTTCCATGCCAGTTTTCTCATCTGTGGAACAGGTATTAGCAGAATATCTCATAAGGTGATTTTAACAATAAGAAAATTTGTCTCAAAACAAGAAATTCAGCAACAGTTCAATCTAGAGTTATTCAATGCAGGGACTCGATGTCCTTGCTTCTTGTCTCTGGTGTCCTTGGTGTGCTGACTGTACCTCAAGAGTTGACTCCATTTATTGCTACTAGAAGGGAATCCCAGGAATCATATCAGTAATAAGTATCCAGTTCTTTCTCTAGAAAGGACCCAGCTCCTCATGTGCCTCCTTTTTAGGAATGATAAATACTTGCCCTTCTCAAAGTCTACTAACAAGACTTGGCTCATGCCTTATTGGGAAGGTTCACGTCCCACACCCATACCCAAACTAATCACTGGCAAGACTTTTCCATGAATGCATGGTGGGGAGTCAACCGTAAAGATTCCAACGTTAAACTTTTGAGAAAAGTCTACCAATCATATTTCCCCCCCCCCCCCCAAGCTTATGAACCACTGATATTTAAGATGAATTACTTTATTGACATAAAGAGAGAAAAACAGTTTAATGAACATTTATTTTACATTCCAACCGAATGAAAGGCACTAAATATGCTAGGCACCGAGGAAAACACAGATGAAAATAAGACTCATCATTTGTCCTTGTCTTTCCTACCATAATAGTGGATATAAGCACAAGAATACAAACCACAAACTATTTTGCAAGGCAATTTTTTTTATAATATTTGATGCACAATTAAAGTGTTATGAGAACAGACGGCAGATTCATTCAGAATGAAATCTTTGTTGCAGAGACCATTACACGGAATTCTGCGATTTCTAACTGTCGCAGAGCCATAGACAATACACTACCCCACAAGTTTGAAGAGAACATTTCATCAACCTCAGCAGAAACAGAGCTATTCTCCCAGTGGATGCCATCATCTCTCACCTCAGCATCCAGCAGAGAGCACAGGGTCAGATCAACCAAAGCACAACAGTGGCTTACTTTCCAATAGACAAACTGTTTACAAACAAAACAGCTTATTAATGAAGGTATAACATACATAGAGTGCATGAATGTTAAATGTACAACTCAATAAATTCTTATATACATATGAATGATGGCAACTCTCAAAAGTAAAAAAAAGAAAAACAGTGGCTGACACACAGAAAGACCTCAGTAAGTAGATGTTTCATCTGCTGATAAGTAAGAAATACAATCTTGGTTTCATTGGCATTTCTTTGATAAATGTGGTTGAACACTTTTGTTACTTGTTTACGTCCTGTGGTCTTCTATTGATACATTTTTTAAAAAATGTTTTTTTTAATTTTTTACTAATTTCTAAGACCCTTGTTTATACTAATGGCACTCACTCTGTCTTATGTTGTAAATATTTTTCCCAATTGGTCCCTTGCCCTTTAAATGTATTTGCCAACTGTTTTTATATTTATGTGGATAAACTTTCTATTTCTTTTAACTTGGGGCTTTAATGTTCTGCTTTTTAAAAAAGTTTTTGCCCAATTACATTATTAAATATCCCCCATTTTAGTATGAAACCCCTATAATTTTCTTTCTTTATATTTAAATCTTTAATCCATGTAGAATTTTATCTTAGTACAATGTATGAGGCTAGAATCTAACCTTGTTTAAAATTAGCCAATCCTGCCAAAGCCAGTTTGGCTCAGTGGTAGAGCATCGGATTGAAAAGTCCAAGGTTCAATTCCGGTCAAGGGCATGTACATTGGTTGCGGGCACCTCCCCAGTAGGGGATGTGCAAGAGGCAGCTGGTTGACGTTTCTCTCTCATCGACCTTTCTAGCTATCTCTCTCCCTTCCTCTCTGTAAAAAAACCAATAAAATATATTTTTTTAAAAATTAGCCATTCCTAGCATTGTACATCAAATAACTATTACATTTTATACTTGATTAAAATGACATATGTATCATATAGTAATTGTTCATGTTTTAATTTTTTCTTCTGTATCATAAAAATGTGCAGAGGACCTGAATTTAGTTAAGTCCCTCAACTGTATAGGAAGCTTAGTTCTATTATATGCAATAGCCATGGCAGGAGAAAAATACTTAAATTGTACATACTAGTATGTATTTTTAGACTGACCAGTCTTTTACTGATCATTCAGTCTTTTTCTGCTTGGATATGTATTTCCTGTAAAGTTACACCTTCATATCCCCTGCCTGGAGTAGCCCACCTTGGCTTACAATGTCCTCATACACCTGTTCATTGATGTATTCAGTGCCTACTGTATACCATGCACCATGCTAAGTAGTGAACCAGGCAAATGCAACTCTTCCCATAATGTACCTATAGCATAATAAATTATCTGGTAGAAGACAATCTTTAAATATTTACACTAATAACTCATCACAATGTGTTTGGTGCTATGAAGAATAGCACATTACCCTTCCCAGCTTAGAAGTTCTATTTCCAGATCTGTTCGTTTCTTCCTGCATCCATGAAGCACAATCTGGGAGATCTGGTTCCAGTTTCCAATGGGAAATACCAGAAAGAACCTTGGGGATTATCTTCAGAGTATTTACAAGGCTGGTATGAGGAATAAGAGAAAAATATTTGAAAGAGAGCTCTAAAACATTAAGAGGACAGAATACCCATATCCTCAGCAAAGCCAGCCCCATGGCAGATGCGATCTGAAACAGTTTAACAAGGTCAGAACTGAGCAGAGTCAACTTCAGTGGACCATTTTTGGCTTTGAATGAGAAAACAGCTGTTATCTTTTTTTTTTAATTCTGTTTTTTCCTGTGGTGTCCCTAGTTTCTACATTTGATAGGTTTCAAACCATGAACAATTGTGTAGCTGAGAAAAAAATTTGCTTTATGAAAAAAAGAAAAAACAAAACATCAATTTTTCCAACCAGTACGTTTTATAGCCATCGAGGAACTGCAGAGGTACCAACAGTGATGAAACCCAGAGAGAACCAGATTTCCAGCTCAAACTGGAAACAAATATATTTTTAAATAAGAGGACATATGCCTGAGGGCAGCTAAATCTAGATAATTTTTTTTTATTATAAAAGGATTTCTCTTAAAAATTTCTTCCTCATTTTGATGCTAACAAATAAATTTGATGTTATAAGAACAAACAAAATCCACCTAGGTTTTTTATCCGAGATAATTTAAAATGAACAGGTGACTCATATTTTTAATTTAAAATAAGTTTGAAGCTCTAGCCAGGTAGCTCAGTTGGTTTGAGCATCATCTGGATATGCTAAGGTTGCCAGTTCAATCATGGTCAGGGCACATATAAGAATCAACCAATGGGTGCATAAATAAGTGGAACAACAAATTAATTTTTCTCTCTCCCTTAAAAAAAAATCAATAATAAAAATAAAATAAGCTTGATATGTCTGAAGTCTATGCTGAAGAAAACAGTTGCCAAAAAATTCACTCATCACCCAAAATAGTTCAGCTTTCTAAACTGAATCTCTTCAGCTTGAGATCAAAGACCGACTCCTCTTAGAAGATCCCCCAATGCTACCAATTCCAACTACTTAAAAGTCAGCTTCTTTTTCTCCAAGAAACAAAACACATCCGACGTGACATGAAAGCACCATCTACCTGAAATGCAAAATAACCAGCAAGCCACATTCTTTCTCGCAGAATTAGCAGGCGTGAATCCCCTGCATCTTGGATAATTTATTTCACTGTCTCTTTTTTTTACTGACAGGACTGTCCAGGACTTCTATCTTGCCTTTCCCACCTTCCGAACGAGGAAGCCTGATATTATCTACGGTGACTTCAGAAGAGCTGCTGTCATCTTCGTCCTCTGATTCGGAACTGTCCTGAGAATCCTCTTCAGAGCTGTCCCCTTCTTTTGAATCGGACTGATTCATCTCAAACAAGGCCACATCCTGCAGAAACACCACATGAGAAACTTATTTCCCTAAAAAGGTACAATAAAACACTGGGAACAACCAACATTTAGCACAAGACCGAAGCACAAAGGACATGTTGTTTTTCAATTCTCACTCCAAGATATGTTCTTATTGATTTTTTATAGAAATAGGAAGTGATAGGGAGAGAGGAAGAGGGGGGGAAAGGAGAAGGGAGGGAGGGAGAGAGGAAGAGGGGAGAGGAAGAGAGAGAATATAAATGTGAGAAAGAAACATCTGGTGGTTGCCTCCTCTAAGCACCCTGACTGGGGATCAAACCTGCAACCCGCGTATGTTCCCTGACCGGAATCGAACCCTCGATCGTTCAGTGCATGGGATGATGCTCCAACCAACTGAGGCACACTGGCCAAGGCATAAAGGACGTGTTTTTAATTCAATATGGCGCTTTTATTCTTTTAATTGACAGAGTCCACCACAATGATCTATATTTACTCTAAGTCTAAAAGGGTCCCCACGCCCAGCTACCGTGTTTCCCCGAAAATAAGACCTAGCGCATGGAAAGATAAGATATCCCCTGAAAATAAGACCTAGCGCAACTTTGGGAGAAAAAATTAATATAAGACACTGTCTTATTTTCGGGGAAACAGGGTAGTTTGGCTCGGTGGATAGAGCATCGGCCTGCGTACTGAAAGGTCCCAGGTTCGATTCTGGTCAAGGGTATGTACCTTGGTTGCGGGCACATCCCCAATAGGGGGTGTGCAGGAGGCAGATGATTGATATTTCTCTCTCATCGATGTTTCTAACTCTCTATCCCTTTCCCTTCCTCTCTGTAAAAAAAATCAATAACAAATATATATTTAAAAAAATAAAAAGGCCCCCATAACCCAATTCTATATGCCCTGTATATACACTTTCATTCAACAACTATTAACATGAGCCAGGCACCACACCAGGTACTGAAGACTCAACAATAACAATAAAATCTTTGCCTTTGTGGAGACTTTGTTTTTGAGCAGAGATTGGCAGCCTACAGGCCAAACCCAGCCTGCCACCTGTCTTGGTTTAACTCATGCACTAAGAATGGTTCTTATATTTTTATGTGGTAGAGGAAAAATAAAACCAAAGGAACAATATTTCATGAAACACGAAAATTATATGAAATTCAAACTTCAGTGTCCATAAGTAAAGTCAGTAGAACTTGCCTATTCATGAAGTCTCACCTACAGCTGCTTCCAGGCTACAACGGCAGAGATGATGGTCAGGAAAGAGACAGCGTGGCCCACAAAGCCTAGACCCGTGGTCGGCAAACTGCGGCTCATGAGCCACATCAGCTCTTTGGCCCCTTGAGTGTGGCTCTTCCACAAAATACCACAACCTGGGCACATCTATTTTGAAGAAGTGGCGCTAGAAAAAGTTTAAGTTTAAAAAATTTGGCTCTCAAAAGAAATTTCAATGGTTGTACTGTTGATATTTGGCTCTGTTGACTAATGAGTTTGCCGACCACTGGCCTAGAGTATTCATTATCTGGCCCTTACAGAAAATGTTTGCTGACCTCTGTTCAAATAGGGAAAAGACAGACAATCAACACTTACATATATAGCATAGTGCAGGAGAAAAGAAAGAAAAATAAAGCAGAATAAGGTAACAAGAGGGTCACTGGAAGAGGTGACGATTGATAAGAGAGACAGAGAGTCAAGATGCAGAAGTCCAGGGAAGAGCATTCTACAAAGAGGGAAAAGGCCTGGAGTAAGGGGAATAAATGCAAGTGCAGACAATGAGGGGACTAGACAGGAGGCAGGGTCAGCGAGCAGCTGGAGGCAGGATCGCATAGGCCTGGAAGGACTTTGAATTGATCAGAAATGAGACAGGAAGCTCCTCTGTTCCCAAATGGTGGGCCACACACACTGTGAAGAACTGACTCTAGGGAAGAAAGGGTGAGAGCAAGGAGACCTGCTGGGAAATTATTCCCGGAGTCCAAAGGGGAGACCGTGATTATTAGGAACAGGGGTGGCAGGAGTGGAGCTCATGCCAAGTTGGATGAGAGATATATTCTGGAGTAGAGCTGACCAGATTTGCTGACGAATTAGATGTTACCAACAATGGTGTCAGCTCTGTCCAGACTCGATTATTATAACAGAATTCCAGGGCAGAAATAAGGCCTGAGTCTAAATTGAGACCCTTTTCACACGTGGCTTATGTAATATGTTCTGTGAGATAATGTATTCTATTAAACTTAACACTAACTTTTGCATTTTCAACTATGATTACTTCTTTGGAAAAAAAAGAAAAAAGAAAAACCCAGTTAGGACATTTACTAAATGAATGCTTGAGGATAGCAAATATATTATATTTGACTTAGAAAAGCCCTCTTAGGACTCTGTATTATTTAATCCCTCAACTTCACCCAGGGAAGCTTGCTAACCTATATATAAGATCCTTAATCATTAAATGGCCAAGTACCTCTGCAGACTAGAAACATGAGCTGACTTACCAGGAAGAAAAGTAACTGTGAAATGAAAATGGAAAAGTTCTCGCCCTTTTTAGGTGATGAGGCATGCTGGCAATTTTACTATATGAAATGAAAACTAAGTATAGTTACCATTTGTATAATGTTTCCAAGACTCTCATCAATATTTTCAATATTGAAGTGACCGGGAGGTGCAGCTGCCATTTCTTTCCTTAGCTTCTCATTCGCCTGAGCCATCTGTGGGAGGAAGGTCTGTACCTGGTCCAATACTAAAGAGAGAAAACATAGTTTATCAAAACTTACATTATTTGCCCAAAGTCCAAATTGTAAAATCCAGTATTTTCTCTAAAACATTTGTGAATTTAATAGTAAAAATTATAATTTAGCCAAAATCGGTTTGGCTCGGTGGATAGAGTGTCAGCCTGAGGATTGAAAGGTCCCAGGTTCGATTCCGGTCAAGGGCTTGTACCTTGGTTGCAGGCACATCCCTAGTGGGGGGGTGTGCAAGAGGCGGCTGATCGATGATTCTCCCTCATCGATGTTTCTAACTCTCTATCCCTCTCTCTTCCTCTCTGTAAAAAATCAATAAAATATATATTTTTTAAATTATAATTTAAAAATTTTCATATTCCTTTCATGTAAAAAATCTCCATCCTCTTCTGACTTCCTTTTTTTTTTTTTTAAATATATTTTATTGATTTTTTACAGAGAGGAAGAGAGAGGGATAGAGAGTTAGAAACATCGATGAGAGAGAAACATCGATCAGCCACCTCCTGCACACCCCCCCACTGGGGATGTGCCCGCAACCAAGGTACATGCCCTTGACCGGAATCGAACCTGGGACTCTTCAGTCTGCAGGCTGATGCTCTATCCACTGAGCCAAACCGGTTTCGGCCTGACTTCCTTTTTAAAAAAATATATTTTTATTAATTTCAGAGAGGAAAAGTAAGGGAGAGAGAGGTAGAAATATCAATGCACACCCCTTACTGGGGACCTAGCTCACAATAGGGACATATGCCCTGACCGAAATTGAACTGTGACCTCCTGGTTCATAGGTCAACACTCAATTACTGAGCCATACCGGTTGGTCCTGTGATGAACACAATTCAGCAATTATTTACCAATAATTTGGGTTTTTCATATATCCCCAGGGCTATAATCTCCTAGAACAGCAGTCACCAATCTTTCGGACCACTGGTTGGCGACCGCTGGCATTCAACAAATAAGCAAAAAAGGAGGCCCTATGACTTAATAGTTAAGTGCATCAGGTGTGGTATCAGACCAACAAGATTATTACCGTAATAGAATCCCAGTTCCACCCCTGATTATCGGAATTGCCTTGAGCATGTTAATTAAATAGCATTTGTTTTTACCATCTATTCCCCTTTCTTTTAATAACAAACTCCTGCCTCTCACCCTGGATGTGCCTACATGCTCTGCAACCTGAGCCACCATGAGTTGGTTCAGTGGCATACACAGTGACACCATGAATTAGTCAGGACAATAAGAGATCACCCTGAAACATGGTTTGAAATGCTCGGGGTGGGGGTGGGGATCCTCCTTCTGAATGACTGAGCGAGCTGCTGAGTGTAAGCCTGGAGCTGCTGATAGACTGGCCGGCTTGCTAGACGTGGGAGAAGAGCCTGTTCTAGATGAAGCCAACACCTAGGAGAGAAGAGCTAAGAGATGCAGATGTATATGAAATCACTGGTTTTTGCCCAATAAAATGAGCAACATAACTTCCTTCCTTCCTCTCTATTTTCCTTCCCTTTCCTCATCATCCCTTCCCCTCCCTCGATCTCTCTTTCTCCCTCCTTTCTTTTCTCTCTCTCTCTCTCTTTTTCTTTCTTTATTTCATATTTAAGGAAATCTGAGTTGGATTTTAGTCATTTACAATAACAGGAATCCTAACTATTACATTTAATTTAATCACTGGAAACCTCAGTTTACTCATCTGTAAAACAGGGGTGGTAACTGCCAGGCATTGTGCTAGGAACAAGGGAATCAACAAACATGGGATAACAGTTTCTTTCTCTTATGAGGCCCAGCACATCACTAGCTCTCAAAACAGTCACTGACACAGCTACACAACAGGTGGCAAAATGTCCAGAGTACGAGAGAAAAGAAAACGGTGGTAAAGGTCCAGAAAGGGCAAGCCCGATGATGTGGGTCAGGAGGTCACGGTTCCATTTCCGGTCAGGGCACATACCCAGGGCTTCGGGCAGCCGATCAGTGGATCTCTCTCATCACTGATGTTTCATCTCTCTCCCTCTCCCTTCCTCTCTGAAATCAATAAAAATTAAAAAAAAATAATAAACTTTTTAAAGTGAATTACTGATGTTATATGAATAAAGTCCAAGTGTGGTACATAGTACTTATGAAGGAACAATTAATGACTATAATTGGCTCTTATGTTACGAGTAACATTTACCATTTAAATAATTGTGTCTAATTTAATAGAATGTGGTGGTGTTTTCTCATACATGTATATTAAATTTGGGCTCAGTAACTTCTAAAAAAAAAATTTCCAGAGATTAACAGGAAGTTTTAAAATATATTTTTCAATCCCACTATACCTCCTCCACCTCACCCACACCCCTCCCTCCTGCAATCACCACACATTAATTTTGATTTCCAAAAATACATCCCACAAAGAGTTTTTCTGGGAAAAGTTATTACTGTCTTAAAGCAGGAGAATATGTAAGGAATTCTATCCTTAGGCATAGATTTCACAATGTAAATCCCCAAGTAAGACTTTCTCCGCTGGACTCTGGTTTAATATCTGACCACAAGGCAGAGACGAACTGATTAATTAGGCAGAATTTAAATCTGGAAGGGAGGGAGGGGAAAGGATACTTACAGGGACTCCTCTCTATCCGAACTGTTTGAAGACTGGAATTCTTTCTGGAATTAGGCTTGGGGTTGATGAGCAATCTGTCCCATATACCTGAAAACAAACACACACACACAATTTATTATAGGGCATTAAGAAACAGGAGCCAGTCAGCAAACTTCCTGTGACCATTCTCAAGTCTTGACCATCCCACATTTCCCAAAAACGCTTTTAAAAAGAGAAGCACCCCAAGATCCACTACAACATCTTAGTTCTTCACATGAATTCAAACCTGTACATCCTATCTTCCCTTTCGTAAGCCTGTCTCTGTGTCACCGGTGCTGAGTAAGTGCACCCTAAACCGTGCCTTTCTGGATCAGAAATCCACCCGTGGCAAAAGCTGCTCTGCCATGACAGCATGGAGGCAGTGGTGGTTCCGTGAGGCCACTGGCTGTGTTACATCTGGCAAATCCCTAACCTTTTTGAGCACTGGTTTCCTCATTTGTAAAATATGGCAGCCTGGTTAGTTCCCCTTCGTTAAAGATGCCCACCCTAAACAAAACTGTCCTCTGGAGAAGTTGTACCTCCACTCCATCTATTCCGTCTCATTATTCATCACTCCTCCAATCCCTGCAAAATCCCCTCCCTCGGGCACCCAAATCCTGTCTGCCCACAGAGCAGAGCTCCACAATCATTCCCCGTTTCCTACTTTAGGCCTAGCAACTGGATTAGCATCAAGAGCTTGGATTCTGGAGGCAGACCTGTTGGATTCAACTCTGTTTTGTTCTTTTCCAGCCATAGGATCTCTGGCAAGTTACCTGTATGATATACACCGTGACTCTGTTTCCTGGTCTGTAAGCGGAGATAACAGAGCCTTCTGCACGAGGCCTTGTGAGGATTAAATTCTCTCTCAACAATTCTATAGCTACTACTACAAAATGGGGGATTGAAAACATAAGCAACTCCCCTCGAGTCCCACAGCTAATGACTCGTGGGGCTGGGATTCGAGTTCGTGATTTTTAATTCTCTAGTATGGGGTCTGAAATCCCGTGTGGATTCCATGGACCTGCCCCTCTACAAGAAAGCGGCACTATGCCGAAACCGGTTTGGCTCAGTGGATAGAGCCGACGGTTTAAGGACTTGAAGGGTCCCAGGTTCGATTCCGGTCAAGGGCATGTATCTTGGTTGCGGGCACATCCCCGGTAGGGGGTGTGCAGGAGGCAGCTGATTGATGTCTCTCCCATCAATGTTTCTAACTCTCTGTCCCTCTCCCTTTCTCTCTGTAAAAGACCAATAAAATATATTTTTAAAAAAAGAAAAGAAAAGAAAGCGGCACTAAGGACTGGTTCTCTGATTGAGGGGGAGAGGAGGGGGGGAAGGTAGTGGGAGGGAGATGGTGGGGATGGTGGGATGACCCATAACAATGATCTGCTCCCGACAAGCCAACTGCTTGGGCCCAGAGAGAGCCTTAGGGGAGGTGCATGCTCAGGCGTTGGACAGAATGGGCGCTCCATGCCGCGTGGAAAAGAAAAACCACACACCTCCCACCCACCCACCCCCGCCCCGGCCCCCGGCCCCCGGCCCCCGGCCCCGGCCCCGGCCCCGGCGCCGGCCCTCCACCCGCCATCCCTGCTGTCACCCGGGGCCCCCTCCGGGACGCCGGGCCTGGACACGGCCCCGCGGCCCTCCCGGCCGCACGTGCGCGCCCCCGCCGCAGCCCCCCGCCCGTCACCTCCGCGGCCGCCGCTCCCCGCCGTCAGCAGCTCCCGGGACACCGAGACGCCGGGGCCGCCCTCGGGGGACGAGGAAGAGCCCGGGCTGCACTGGAGTTCGCCGTCGACCTCCATGCTGCTCGCGAGGCTTCAGAGCCAGCCCACCCACGCCCGGATGCAGGAAAAAGACTTGGGCAGGGGCGGGGCCAGGGTCGCGATTGGAGAAAACTAGCTGGTGGGCGGGGAGAGGGGCGGAGCCTAGGCCGGTGGCGAGGGCGACCCCTGGCGGAACCTAGAGGTCTTTGCAAGCGTGGTTGTAACTCTGGAAGCCCTGTCCTTGGAGAACTAATGGCAAGGCTCCTCAATTTTTTTTTCTTTTTAAGCTAAACAAATTCGGATGTGAAGAGAGCACCACGGGCTGCTCTCCTCTTTGTTCTTAAAACAATTTTTTTAAATTGTGGTATTAAAAAAAACCATAAATTTTACCATCTTAACCTTTTTTTAAAAATATTTTTTATTTTTTTAAACATATTTTATTGATTTTTTATAGAGTGGAAGGAAGAGGGATAGAGAGATAGAAATATCGATCAGCTGTCTCCTGCACACCTTCTACTGGGGATGTGCCCACAACCAAGGTACATGCCATTGACCGGAATTGAACCTGGGACCTTTCAGTCTTCAGGCTGGGGCTCTATCCAATGAGCCAAACCGGTTAGGGCAATCTTAACCTTTTTTAAGTGTCCAGGTCAAAAGTGTTATATCCACAGTGCTATATAACAGATGTCTAGAATGTTTTCACCTTGAACAACTGAAACTGTGTCTATTGAGCAATGCCTTCATTGTCCCCTGCCTCCAGCCCCTGGCAGCCACCTTTAAATTTCTGTTTCTATTAGTTTAACTATTTCAGATACTTCATATAATTAGAATCATAGAGTAATTTTTTTTTGTGACTTACGTATTATACTTACTATAATGCCCTCAACATTTATCCATGCTGAAGCATGTGACAGGATTCCCTTCATTTTAAGGCTAAATAGTATTTCATTCTATGCATATACTACATTTTCTTTCTTTTTTTAAATTTATTTATATATTTTATTGATTTTTTACAGAGAGGAAGGGAGAGGGATAGAGAGATAGAAACATTGATGAGAGAGAATCATCGATCAGCTGCCTCTTGCACCCCTCCCACCAGGGATGTGCCTGCAACCAAGGTACATGCCCTTAACTGGAATCAAACCTGGGACCTTTCAGTCCACAGGCCGACACTCTAGCCACTGAGCCAAACCGATTTCGGCACATTTTCTTTTTTAAAAAAATTTTTTTTCTTGATTTCAGAAAGGAGGGAGAGAGAGATAGAAACACCAATGATGAGAGAGAATCATCACTCCCTGCACGCCCCAACCAGGGATTGAGCCCCCAACCCATGGCCTCCTGGCTCATAGGTCCATGCTCAACCACTGAGCCACACTGGCTGTGCTACTACATTTTCTTTATCCATTCATCCCTTGGTGGACTTTTGGGTTGCTTTCACCTCTGGGCTTTGTAAATAATCTGCAATCACATAGGTATGCAAATATATCTTCAAGGTCCTGCTTTCAGTTCTTTTGGATTTATATCCATAGTGTGATTACTGAATAAATAGCAATTCTATTTCAATTTATCCACACCTTCACCAACAGTTGTTATTTTATGTTTGTTTGTTTGTTTGTTTGTTTTAATAATGGTCATCCTAATGGGTATAAGGCAGTGGTTTTCAACCTTTCTAATCCCTCAACCCTTTAATACAGTTCCTCATGTTATGGTGAGCCCCAACCATAAAATTATTTTCATTGTTACTTCATAACTGTAATTTTGCTACTGTTACGAATCATAATGTAAATATCTGTGTTTTCCAATGGTTTTAGGCGACCCTGCTAGCGGTTCTCAACCTGTGACCCAGGCAGGGTTGCCTAAGACCATCGGAAAACACAGATATTGACATTACAATTCATAACAGTAGCAAAATTACAGTTATGAAGTAGCAACAAAAATAATTTTATGGTTGGGGGTCATCACAACATGAGGAACTGTATTAAAAGGTCGCGGCATTAGAAAGGTTGAGTAGAATCACATAAGGTGATATCTCATTGTAGTTTTGATTTGCATTTCTCTAATGATTAGTGATATTGAGCATCTTTTCATATGTTTACTGGTCATTTGTATATCTACTTTGGAGAAATGTGTCTTCAAATTCATTACCCATTTAAAAAAATATGTTTTTATTGATTTTAGAGAGAGAGGAAGAGTGAGGGAGAGAGAAGGAAACATGGATGAGAAACACCCATTGGCTGCCTCCTGCATGTCCCCCACCTGGGATGGAGCCCACAGCCCTGGCATGTACTCTGACTGGGAATTGAACCAGGACCTCTTAGTGCATGGGATGATGTTCAACCAATTGAGCTACACCAGCCAGGGTGTTCGTTGCTCATTTTCCAAGTTGTTTTGTTGGTTTTGAAATGTAGAAGTTAGTAACTTATATATTCTGTTTATGCACCCCTTGTCAGATACAAATATAATTAGCAGTCTCTCTCATTCCATAGGTTGCCTTTTTACTCTGTTGATTCTTTCCTTTCCTCTTCCTCCTTTTAAAAGTATTTATACCACAGTATGCTCAGATCCCTCTGGTACAGGATTCAGAGGAGAAGCAGAAATCTTGGTCCAACCTTTTTCTGCTTGTTTCTGACAGAACAGGTGGTCAAAGTCAGCCAGACCTGCATTAAACCCAGTCCCAGCTACTCCCTTAGTAGCTGTGACTTTGGGCAAATCACTCTCTGAGTCTCATTTCCTCCTCTGTAAAATCAGAATAATCATATTTCACAGGGTGTCCTGGGGGTCAAAGGCTATCCTGATGAGATTATTAAAATGTATATAAGGCTGAAATCGGTTTGGCTCAGTGGATAGAGCGTTGGCCTGCAGACTGAAAGGTCCCAGGTTCAATTCTGTTCAAGGGCATGTATAATACATTGGTTATGGGCACATCCCCAGTTGGGGAGGGGGGGCGTGCAGGAGGCAGCTGGTCGATGATTCTCTCTCCCTCTCCGTAAAAAATCAATAAAATATTTAAAAAAATAATAATAAATAAAATGTACATAAGGAGCCCTAGTGAGCGTTGGCCTGCCAATTGAAGAGTCTGGGCTTCAGTTCTGGTCAAGGGCACCTACTTCAGTTGCAGGCTCTTCCCTGGCCTGGGTCCTGATAGGGACTCACACAGGAGACAACCAACCAATATATTTCTCTCACATAGATATTTGTCTCTGTCTTTCCCTCTCTCTTTCACTCTCTCTAAAAATCAATGGGAAAATATTCTCGGGTGAGGATTAAAAAAGATGTATGTAAGGAAACTGGTAACTGCATTATTATCATAATAATAATTTAACATCATACCACATTATTATCAAGTTGTAAAACGCAGAATACAAAGAATTATGGGAGAAATGACCATAGGTGCTGAGGAAGAAAACACTGATTAGCCCTAACTGGTTTGGCTCAGTGGATAGAGCATTGGCCTTCGTACTGAAAGGTCCCAGGTTTGATTTTGATCAAGGGCATGTACCTTGGTTGTGGGCACATCCCAAGTAAGAGATGTACAGGAGGCAGTTGATCAATGTTTCTAACTCTCTATCCCTCTCTCTTCCTCTCTGCAAAAAAACGGAAAAAAAAATCAATAAAATACATTAAAAAAAAGAAAGAAAGAAAACACCAATTAATGAGTTTTAGAAGCTACTTTCACTATTTTTAGATAAAGCTGACTACAAAGTCTCCCGGTAAGGGACAGCACCTTTTCTTCTCTGTATTGCCAGTACCTCACCTGGGGTTGAACGCATGGTTAATGATTAATTCAGGTTTAACTAATGAATGAACAGAGAGACGTTGAGCAAATGAATAATAGTTCATTGTTTCAATGATCAATTGATTGCCTCAGTAAACCTGGATTCCACCCCCTAGAAATGTCCTCTGTTGTTTTTTGTTTTGTTTTGTTTTATATATTTTATTGATTTTTTTTCTTTTTTTTACAGAGAGGAAGGGGAAGAGATAGAGAGTTAGAAACATCAATGAGAGTCATCGATCAGCTGCCTCCTGCACACCCCCTACTGGGGATGTGCCCGCAACCAAGGTACATGGCCTTGGCCGGAATCGAACCCGGGACTCTTCAGTCCGCAGGCTGATGCTCTATCCACTGAGCCAAACCGGTTTCGGCTGTCCTCTGTTTTTATTGTGTATGAATTGTTGACTGACTGAGATCAGAAGCATCCCTCAAGCACAACGTTGTACAAAATTAATGGAGCATTTCTGGTTTTTAAAAATTATTTATTTATTTTTCTTGCGCTTTTAATAATATCAGATGCCAGAAATCTGGGAAGGTGGCGGCTAAGAACCCTAACATTCCCCTTCCCCTTAAGCTCCTTAGGAGTAAGTTTTAGGGGAGTCGGGGAAAGGGAATGTGGGTAAGGAGCACAAAGGGGGTTCTGGTGATTTGTGGACCCGGAAGTGGAGCCCCTATAGGGGTGTTAGGTCTTAATGAATGTCTGTATTGCTGATTCTGGGAACAGGATGGTCAGCCTTACGAAACCGGCCAATCAGGGATTGGGTGTGCGTCATGTCATCCCCGTGTTTCTCAGACCTAATGGATCCTGAGTGATGAGGCGTGTAAGTTCTAGGCTGGGTTAGAAGTCTCTTTGTTCTTGCCAGATCATCTGAGAACAGATTGGCAAAGATTAAAACTTTGATAAAACTCCATCTTGCCGAGACCTGTTTGGCTCAGTGGATAGAGCGTCGGTCTGCGGACTGAGGGGTCCCAGGTTCGATTCTGGTCAGGGGCATGTGAGTTGGCTGAGGGCGCGTCCCCAGTGGGGAGCGAGCAGGAGGCAGCTGATCGATGACTCTCTCATCGATGTTTCTAACTCTCTACTCTGTATCTCTCTCCCTTCCTCTCTGTAAACAAACAAACAAACAAACAAAAACTCCATCTTAATGAAGTTATAAGGAAATGGACAGCTATATAATTGGTGGATTTGTACATTGGTACCATCTTGGAGGCCAATTTGACAGTATCTGGTACATGATCGTGGAGCCGTGTTCACAGCACGAGTCACTATCTGTGCAGTAATCTGGTCCCCATTCCTTGGTGGTTACTCCAGATTCTTCCTTTGC